TAAGCACGAATTTCTGAACAAAGTCTCTGATTAATGTGTCTGGAAAAGACAATGTATTGCCATTATGTTTTACACACCAATCTCTGTCACAAATATAAGTTTAGATTGTCACATCCGATTTATACTAATTATAGTACTGCACGTTTGGAACGTCGATTTTAATAGGTCAATTTAGACGCTTATATGATCCATATACGCGACTGCTGTAAACAATTGTATCAAAATTCAGGTAATATACAAGATACAAACGTATATATATTTAGCCATAAAATGTGTCAAAAGTCTCTATGACTGATGACAAATACAATTGAAACAAGTTAAAAAATATAATTTACTGAGTACTAAGCTCTGCAGAAAAATGTTTCTGCTAATAATTCAAATTGTCTTTAACAGAAGTACATTATTCATGATGCACTTTTAGTTGTTATGGCAAATTGAGCTATAATAGGTCATTAACAGTGTAAATATTTTTGCGATACGTATAATTCTGTCTCTGGAAATGTTCTCCTTTGTGAAGTAATGGCTTTTTATGAACTAATTAATCAAAAAACATAAGTATTAACATCAAAGTTCAAAAGGAACTTCAAAAGCATAAACCTAAGTAAATATGTCAGACACCATTGACAAGTCGCGAGATACAAAAGGGAAATAAAAACTTTCATATCCTGTCGGGTTAAGGATAGTATAACAAGATAATTCAAAGTATTGACAAACGTCATTGTATGCAAGCCAATTTGCAAAGTCTTTCATGTTGAATGAAAAGTGAATCGTGAATGTAAGCGATTGGTTTACATTCTAACACTAAATAATGTCTCCCGACCTTTTAAGGTTAATGTATTGAAACCATGGTGACATACCATCATATTATACAGAATATAATGTGCAACAAAAAATGCATTCGGAAGATCTACAGTGTTTTTTGATGGTGTGTTTTCTATAGCATATCAACGGGATGTCCGACTTCAACGTATGATATTCTTATAAATAAGCCAATATAATTGGTTAGCATTATATCACACTTTAGAAAAAATTAAAATAGACTTAATCTAGAAAAGGCACAAACAGAGAGAACAGAGAAAATAGTATCCCGGGGATACTTTGTTGACTGACAAAATACTACATTTATGTGCTATATGTATAGTTTTATTACTTTCGAAAAACTTGAATCTCTTTAGACGCGACTTTAGATTTTTCATATACTGATGTAGTGACGAAATGTTCAGTAAGACATTTGATATTCTTTCATTTACAGAAATGAATTTAATTTTCAAACTAATACTGAGCCACATTGGTAGGTTACGTTGACGTCTAATTATAAAAAAAATCCCACACATTTTAAATAATAAGTCAATATCCTTAAAGACGATGTTTATGTAGTGTTTTCAAGACAAATTGTATAATAAAGTTTTCAACAGAAATGACATTGATATATAAATATATGATTTCTTTGCCAAATGTGCGTCTCTGTTATGTAAGATATTATTGCAGCTTCTTTTGATTAAGCTGTCAGAAGGCTTGTACGGTAAAGAGCAACTCCTTTACAGGCATTTTAATTTCCGACAGTTTACATAATAAACCTGCTATATTGCTAGTACATTTTTCTTTATGATATGCATTCGTAATTGAAAGAAAAAGGCTTTTGGTTAAACACGGTATCTCGTTCATTTTTTGGTGTCATAAACGGATAGTTTGTCTCACAGTATTGGCTTGTTTCTTGTTGTTTTACTTATTGCGTTTCCCTCCCCTCCTTCCGCCGCCTTTGTTTTTTCTCCCGGATCTGGTTTGGTGCTTTCTAGGTGCCCTGCTGTTGTGGCTGGGTTGTGTCGAGGACTGCGTCCTGTGATCGTTGCCTTTGCATCTTTGATCCATTCTCATTTCTTAACATCACCATAAATTAAAGTTAATCATTATAATAATTGGGAAATCAAAATGTTTTAGCATACAGTTATTATTCATGAGACACTTCAAAAAGAATCTTGTTCCGGTAAAATGTAATCAAAACTTGATTTGAATTCATTACTTTTTATGACAGTCAACGTGTACATGTATAGTTAAACATGATATATGTATTGTAGAGAAACAGATTGATTTGGACCGCCTCCGTGGTCGAGGGGTTAGAGTCGATGACTTCTAATCCAGTTACCTCTCTGGCGTGGGTTCGATACCCGGGAGATGCTTTGGTAGTTTAGCGCGGAGAAAGGTAGTCTAGTACTGGTGTAACTCTCCAGGAACGATGGTTAGGTAACTACCCGCCTATATGACTGAAATACTGTTGAAAAAGGCGTAAAATGAAACAAACAAACAAAAAATAGATTGATTTGCTTGCAAGTTATAAAACACCGTTACACAGGACCTTGGATTTTAAAGTATCGTCTGAAGGTAGCGAGTTATCCAACTTGCGACCTTGACTTTTAGTCAGAGTTTGTAACTACTAGATCGCAACAACCGCTCAAAAAAGACCATTGCATCTGCAAAGGTTAAATGTTTTGTAAGTATTTAAACTTGATTCTTGATGTTTTCTTTGAGATTTGTTATGTCTTTCGGACAGTAAAAGTGCTCGCTTTTGTACATGCTTTAAATCGCTATACTGATATAGCCATATTTTGAACTTTTACTACTAACAAATCAAATTATCTGAATCACTGTTTTAAAATAAATGAAGATATATTAATTCGGAATTTAGTCGTGAGGTTTTATAGGTCTATCTATAAATTCTGTATCTTAAAGTTTATTTTATTATGAGCATGTTAATGTAACATTACGAACCTAAATGAATACGTTAGCGTTCACTATTTTCATACCTCGAATCTACTATGCAAAAGTTTTTGTAAATTTTGTCACATGAAATGTGTTTCTACTGAGACGTCATTGATTAAGTACTAATATGCCTCTTTGCATGTCTTCTAATAACACATATTTCTTTCTCCTTCAAAGACAGATTGATCACTTGTCTCTTGTGCACAGTATAATATTATTTTTTCCCTTTAGCAATGTGTAAAATCCAGTCATTCTATTACATTTATCTGTAACTTATTATAGCAAATGTGTATACATTTTGTACTACTTTTTCTCAAAATAAGATTAAGTCGATCAAAATCTTCAGCATTTAAGGAATCAATTATTTAAATGTTATAAATAGAATATAAAGTCTGACATTTTCACTGTTAATGGAACAAATCGCGACCTATGGTGTCGGTTCATACTGAGAAACCTGATCAATCTAAAATTTTAGTCTTAGAAGATGGTAAATTTGTTTTTATGTACTGAGAAAATCATCACGTAATTAAAGAATGGTGACGTTATAAATGTGTCTAAATTTGCGTACAAAGCAAATAATTCTCGAGCCAAATGTAGAAACACCATTTGTTTCATTTCGTTGCGAATTCCTTTTTTTTACAAGTTTAAAGGGTCTTCTTTACAGCAATTTAAGACTGAAAGCCCTGACCCAAGCAAAACATCCGTGAGATTTCCGCGTTGCATGGTCATTTTTTGAACGGCATAATATATCATTGGCACCAATTGACTTATTAACTTGTGCGATCGACTTGATAACTCTTGCGCACAATATAGTATCTCGTGCGCACAATTTTATCATCTCGAACGATCGACATAGTAACTAGTGTGCACGGCATAATATTTCGTGCGCACGAGATAAATAAAAATACACACACACATGGCACATCTGTGCCACCGTAGTTTATGATGCTTGGTAGGAATATTGCTCAATGCAATCTGATTTGCTAATGATGTAGTGTGCACCACTTAATCACACCAGATAGTAACACGTGCGTAACACATTGTCTCGAGTGCACCACTTAATTATCTCGTGATCACGACTTAGAAACACGTGCGCAGACATAGTATCGTGCGCACGTTTACACATGTCACGTCTGTGCCACCCTAAGTTGTGCAATAACGTATTTTTATATTTTGCAATACATGTCATTTTACAACAAATCATGTGAAATGACAAATGTAGACCTATGTTTTAAACTATTCAGCAATTTTTCTAATTTAGTATTTTGTAACGATATATTATAGAGTAAAAAAGCTTTATCTCATGAAAATTTTTTATATCATTAATTAACATTAAAATTATATTGGCTCCATATTCGTCGACTCTAAAATAATACATATTGCACGTAAAGAGATTAAAATGTTCGAATGTTCCCGAACAAAATAAATTTCTGCAATTTCGTGATTTGTTTTCATGTATGATACTGAATGATATCTACATAATTTTTCATGGTCTTACAGACCCTCCATTTCAAACCAATTCACTGTAAATGTAATTTACTATCATATTTAATTAAAGCCGTGTTTCATATAAGCATTTTAATGCAATATTCTTTAAATTCAAACAATATTATTTTTTTCGGGAGATATATTGTTTTATACACTTAAAGTACAAAAAAGTTTCCAATTATTAAAAAGTATCTTTAGTTTATTTTTTTTGTTTTTTTTTTAAATATTCTTTGATCAAAAGGAATTTTTCTAAAATTTTATTATATATTGGGTCACAAAGTTATATAACGTTTTAATGTTACGTCTCTAATCCGTTTATTTTCTCTTAACAAATATGGTTATAAACCTGGTTATCTATATACGTACATTAATTAAAGAAGTTTTGCTTTTATGAAGAAACTTAAAAGAGAAATAGGGGAATTCATGTCACAGTATTATCGCACTGCAAACAGCGAGCAGCAGATACGAATGTATTGGATAACTATCTTACTCCTGTAAAGAACATCATTCTGTCGTTTATTCTCGAAGACGGATTTCAAAGCCGTGTCACATTCCTTAACATATTAAGTTCGTTTTTTTTATTATTTCTTATTAATCAAATAAGTTTATAATAAACAGATATTATAACTCACATATCATATTAAATTTTGTAAATTACTTTGTGTTTTTATGCATTTTAAAATGCATTTGCAATGACAACTTTAAATTGATTTTTAAAGCAATGTTTATAAAGCTTTAAAAAGCGAAGTTATAATATGGATTATACAGCTCCTTATTTCGGTGAAATAGATGAAGGATTAGAAATTAATACAACACAGGCAGATTTTACAAAACATAATGATGATGAGCCAAGGGGTTTGGAAATACCGCTTTACATCTATATTATTTCTTTATTGTTAAATGCGACTATATTTATGATTGGGACATTCGGAAATATTCTAGTGATTATAGTAGTTTTAAAAGTGAGAAATATGCGCACACCAACAAATGTGTTCTTGTTAAATCTAAGCGCAGCTGATGTTCTAGTATTGCTTGTTTGTCAGCCAGCTGGGCTGCTGGAGTTTTTCGGGAAGGAAAGGTGGTTTCTTGGAAAAATCATGTGTAAGTCGTTTAACAGCAAACATAATTATATTCAATGTTAAAGTTTTTTTCGATTTATAAATCTGATGTGACAATTATTTTCTTCTACAGAGTCGTTATAGAACAAAAAACGTCGTAGTTTTTCTAGTCATTTATTCTTTATTTAATTTCCTGTAAGTCTTGAAAATGATAATTATTACATAAAACAATCATTTTAATTCTATTATGAAAATTCCCATATATTGTTTAATTAATCTAAAAGACCACCCGCTGCTAATCTATAAAAGAAAAGTAATTTGGCAAATCATCGTGCCATTAATCATTCTGTGAATGCATCATATCATAATTAATTGTTTTTGTGATTATAAAGCAGATCTCTTCTCGTGATCGTTGCACGAATAATCATGTCTTATAGCTGACTTTCTTTTGAAACTTACTCTTCTTATATTGACTTTGTTCACGGTTTAATTTACCGCGCATTTCTTTAAAGGGTCTTTTTCCCGTCATAGTAAAATAAAAATGAAAAAAATATCTAATACAAAAAGATAAAAACAATATGTTCTTTTCATGATTACTAATTTCAAAGGCGAATTCGATTTGATCTGGGCTGTTGATTAGCGACATTGACTTTATTTGTTGTTCTTTTTCATAGTTTGTGACCGTTAAATTGTCCATGACTTAATTTTTAATGATATTTTAATGATGAAATATTGCTTATGCTGTTTCCAATGGCCATAAGTGATGTCGCACCTTTCATTGTTTTTGAAAGTAGTCCCGATAAGTCGAAACTGCGATTTTCGCCGAATCATTTTTGTTTTATTTGCTCTCGATGAATCTCGAATTTCAAGATTTTTTATATTACTCGTTTCAAAAGAATAATTCCTCGCTTTATCAGATGAGACACTAAATGTACGAATAACAATATGTCTTTGTCTTACACATTTCAAACGTTATGAAAAGCATTGTGTCATACCATGTAACATCAATTTCTGTAAATACATTTTGTAAATATTAGTTCGAAACGATAAAATCGTATTTTCCTAGACATTTCAGAAAAATAATTAATTTAGGATATGCTTTAAACACATATTTTAATATAAAACACACATTTAGGTTGTAAATATCAATAATAATCAGCTTATCATGATGCAAGGCTTATAATTTCCAATGTCAAAATGTATGTAATGAGAAAAAAGAACGGATCAGAGAAGATAGAGTTAAAGATATTTAAGTCAATAACTACTGAGTAAATTTTTCAGTAAAGAAGACTTCAAGTACCGACTCAATTAAACCGAGTCTGCAATTGTCATATAATTTTGTTGTGATTCATGTTTCCGAGGGATCACACCATAATCAGATTTGGAAAGGACATAAATAAGAATGAGGCCTGATATCAACTCTTAATTATCAGGAATTTTTGTGTAAACTTATATCAAGGACTTTGATATTGACTGTAATAATTTATTTTCAGGCAAACTTGTTCCGTTGATGGAGAATGGTGTACTGCATGTTTCTATTCTCACGATGCTTGCTGTGACATTTGAACGTTATAATGCGTTATGTCACCCATTCAAACATCGGATGGCATCAACAATTTCCGCTACCGTGAAGACAATCATAGGAATTTGGATAATCGGAACAGTTCTTACACTTCCATTCTTGATAATGACAGAACATGAGGACGCCATTTTTTATGATGGTTCCCCAATCAAAGTTTGCCGGACAAAAGTAAACGGAATGTGGCGCTATTGTTACACAATTTTCTTATTCATTGCGTTTTTCGTATTACCATTCTTCATTTTGATTGGCTTTTATGCTCGTATCATTAAACAGCTCATGTCAGATAAGTTGAAATCTCTAGCACAGAATGACCGAACAGCGGTAAATGCATTACGATCCAGAAGACAAGTTGTTCAAATGCTTATATTTATTATTGTTTTATTTTTCGTCTCACTTTTTCCTATAAGAGTGCTTTCTCTCTGGCTTATTTTCACACCTACAAAGAACGCCATAAAAATAGGTCTAGAAGCTTACTTAAACCTTATATCTTGGGCAAGAATTCTGATGTATATCAACAGTGCCGGAAACCCAATCATCTATAGTTTGACTTCAACGAAATTTAAAACTGCGTTTAAGAGGGTACTAGGGCGCAACCGAAGATATCCGCAGTATGTCGTCGGGTCAACAAAGTATAGCTTCAAGCGGAACAAAGATGGAACCGGCAATTTAGTTTCTACTCCTTTATCACGTGTAAGTGGTACTCACCTATCTTCAGTTAGATCGAAAGTTTCTGGAAAATCTCCCACGTCAAGCTCACGGGGACCCAAAAGGACAATTCCTGATTTTGATTAGGCTAGGTAAGAATTGACAAAGTACTTTTCAACTCAAGTTTAATTGGGTTTTATATTTATTTTAAGATATTGTCAATAAAGCTGACTGTTAAACCCTTTTTTGAAATAAGATACTTTATAAGATCTAGGATAATGATTATGTTTGTTCTTGCTAATATTAGTGAGTTTGGATCATGAATTGTATTGTTTGAAATCGTTCACAGATTTGTTGTCCATATTTGTTAATATAACTACGCTTTGTTTTATGTAAAATGTGCGAATTAAAAATGTTTCAATAAATACATTTTAAAAATTGCGACAACACCATCGGCAGCCTATAGATTATTGTTACTACCATGATATACTGTACAAAATCTCTGCTGATGAAGTTTTAAACACGCACAAAAAAGATTTATGTGATTAATTAATCTTTTTACTGACCGGTTTATACAAATTAAGTGTCGGTTTAATTGATAAAACATGCCCAATTAATATTTCTTTTTAAATACTGTATATTTACATTGCAGCTTTTGCCATCAATTATTCCATTTTTCCAAATTATTCCAGACAGAGGGCGAGGGCGAGTACCATTCGAAATCAGACAGATACATGGTCGTAGTACAACTTGCATTTGTACCTGACAAATCATAACGTCGATAAAGTAATAATAAATAATAATAATACTCCATTACAATTGATACAAATAATGAGTGCAAAAGTTGAGATAAAAGAAAAAGTAATAAACCACAAGTGAAAGGTTTAGGTATAATGTCTCACCATCAAGTTCGGAGGTAGAACAAGAAACAATAAATTAAAAAAAAAATAATAAAAAAGCACTGCTCAGAAATGTGTACACATGCACAGTCTGAAAACAACATAACATTGTAGAATATTTCATCTATAAAAATGTTACTTTACCTTTCATATTTCATATCGATAAATATAAACTAACAATTTCTAAGACAGGAAAGGCAATTTAACTTTTGCACGGAAATATCAACATCTTCAACTAAAAGCGAATGTTAATTGGCTAATTTTTATCTACCATTAATTTACTAGAATAAGTTGTATCTGGGACATTTCTCCCAAAACAGAGAATCACATATTAATTATTTAACAAGTTTCTCTCCAAAAGATCTGATAGTTTTGGTAAAGAATAAAATATTCTCAATTGCATCTAGACTTAGTCTCCAAGAATATCTATAAAAGTACATAGTTTAAGTAAATCACCATCTTTGTGAACAGAAATAAAATATCAGTTAAATCCGAATAAAATTTGGTCAACCTTTGATTATGATCACATAAACCAGTGGCCTAATACCATTTTAGTACTTTCATAAATAAGTCAAAAGGCAAATTGTATTTTGGTATGAATTATTGTCTTGTTTTTGATTTGGATTAATGGAAAAAATATAGAAATTAGTGCAAACACACATAAGACATTGTCATAATTATAATAGCACGGAAGCGTTTATTGTTCTCCTTTTTCAAGATTTTCATGTTGATTTAATATTTAAATGTGTCAACTAATGCTTGAAATACATGTTGATGTTTTTTTTAAAGAACATTTGTGACACAATCAATGGAGAAAAAGATCCAATTTTTATCGCATTTGTCTTTTAAGAAACAACAATTAGGCCCATTCAGAACTTTAAAACATTTGATCGAGGATTTAAATTGCTTGTAAAAATAATTTATATCTAAAGAGAAATAATTGTCTTGTGAAACTAGAGAGGATGAAATAAACAAGTGCTTTAAAAAGTTTAGTTTGCAATGGAAAAAACCAAGAGGAAAAAAAAATTTATCCAGTATTCTAATGAAAAATGAAAAGGTGGGCTTTAAAACCATTGGTTATTGTGTTAAAAAGAGACCCAACCCGTTTGTTTTGTAACAAAATGTAAGTTTTTAAAGGAAATTTTAGAAAGGGTACATAACAAAGACATAACCTTCTGTTTCTAAAAGATATGTTCCTACTAAAACTAAGTTTTTGTAATAAAAATGACTTCAAGGTGGCGTCAACTTTGATCAACTCGTGATGACACGTAGACTATAAATATGTACAAAAATGACTTATAATATATTTTGTAAAATTTTTATATTTGGTTTGGGGTTTTAGACATAATCGACTTTTTTCTAAAAAAAGTTAATTTTTTTAATTTTATTTTCTTTTTAAACAAAAAAATTTCCCTAAAATTGTTGATATCCCCAATTTTTGGTATTAATTCATCCACTCAAAACCTTTTTTTATTTTTTTTTTTTTAAGGCGTGAAATTTTAAAACCCCAAAAAAATTTTCGAAAGCCCTTGACCTTTCCTTTCACTTGGGAATATTAATTTTTTTAAAAACCTTTTCGGGTTTTTTTTTTTAAATTTATTTGGGAATATTTTTTAAAAGAAATGTAATTTTCCCTATTTTTTAAAAAGAAATTGTTTTTTCTTGTAAAAAGGCAGAAATTATCGTTTGTGAAAAATTTGTAATTTTTTGTAACATTGTGCCCTTCGTATTTTGTAAGGTGAAAACCATTTTACTTCATCTGGAAACATATTAGCCAGAATTTTATACCTTTAAAGTTTTAGACGGTGAGCAAGCTATCTTGTTGAGTAAGATTCTTCACAGGAGAAACATTACCCTTGGTAACTTGGTAACATCAGATTGGGGTTGACCGACACAGAAGTAATAGTTTACGTCAATATTAACGTCTTTAACATTTTATGTCTTATTCTTTAAATTTGAAAGTTTAGACACAACAAAAATCCGATAAAATCTTTCATATATTCAAGTCAAATAACACAATTAATTCTTTTTCCGCATTGCCCACAGTAACAACAGCTGAACCAGTAACTTTAGTACTTTGATTTTCAAGTAACAACTTATGTATCAAATGTCGTGGTTATACTGAACTGTATTTACAAGAACATTCTACCAAGATTTGAGTGACAATTGTTAGATAGTATATTTTGTCACTCTCTTTTAGACATTTAGAACTTCATATATAAAAAAAATAATTGTAAAATTTTGCAAACGTTCTAAAAAGAGAATATCCATCGAAAAGATTAAGAAGCAGAAATCGCAAACACGGTTAGTTTGAAGTGTAACATATCTAAGTCTCTATCACTAGCTAGAAATGACAACATTTTGAAATGTTCCTTTCCTTACACATCTATAAACAACTACGATATATCAGGTATATCAAAATGGTTTCTAGCTTAACTTGTTCAATCATCATATCTATTTAAGATGTTATTACATTAAGTAAATAAGCGAGCATAAATCAATGTTCGCCAAGATACATAAGACAGAAACGTGCCGGATAATAAAAGTGACTGAGTCTCCCTAAACCCCGCACAAATCAAATCCATTGCAAGCAGGCAATTTTCATATGTATCATGCTGCGGTCCTTGTCGGTGGTCAAGGATTTCTGTCTAGAGATGCTTTCGTTGAATACTGGTTGATCCTTGTTTTCATATCTTAATTCAGTTTCTTCCTTTATTATATTGACAAGTATAATAACGATAAAAGTCCACATCGAAAGCCCCTTTTGTTTCGTACACGATTCGATATTTAATATGAGAAGTTGTTTCTCACAAGTTGTAAACATATTTATTTAAAATACAAAAGGAAACACTAATTTTCAATCCGAAATCAGGCTAGTTATAGAACGTTTGTTTTGTTATAAAATTAAAAAGAAAATTAAACAACATTTTCAAAATATTAATTCGAAGGTTTCGACAGCACGACAGTCATTCCTTGTTTTGCCAAATTATAAAATGTTTAGTTCATTTGTTCTGAAAGATAATAACAATAAAACCTGTACCATTTATTATAATAATTATATGTCTATTTTCAAAAGATGTTTTGATTTCAAATATAAGCTACTTAAAAGCATGGTAGCATAAATAACTAATTTGGAAGGTGTGTATTTTGGGCATTAACAAAGAACCATTACAATCATGATTGTTCGATGACAGTATATGCATTCTCTGAAAAATAAAATTAGCTTCAGGTAGGGACACATCAGCAAATATATGAGCAACAAAAAGAAAAACAAAGCTGTTTATCACTTTCTAAAACGTTTAATGAAACAAATTAATTAATTAGTTTTGTGGTGTAACTTCTTTTGAAGTTGCTTCACTTAAAAAAAGCAAAATAATTATATAGTAAGTTCTGGAAAACTACATGACATTTAGCTTATCAAGGCTAGCCCTATCAAATATGGGTATGTAACAAATGTATTCTATATCACTATTCCAAAGGCATATTAGTCTTTATTAAATTTCTCATTAATATGTTACTTGTTTGGTAAATATAAGAACATTTTGCTTGAAACAGTTTTTTTCCTAAATCTTGCATTCCTTTAAAATAACACATAGCATTTTCCTTATGAATGACGCACGAGTAAATTATATATTGCAAAATTTGGTAATTATTAGAGGATACATGTATGATCAGAAAATGATGGAAGTTTTTTTCCACATTATTTGAATTTTTAAATGTTGTTCACGAAATTAGAAGAAAGGATAAACACATTATCTGAATAATTAATAAATTTCATTACAGTAACTTCAGCTTTGATTTCCAGAGGCGAACATTTATTTTACGATATACAATCGGTTTTGTTTGATAAAAGTGGGTGTTAATTTTCTTTGAGCAATCGGAGAGGACGCATTACATGAACATGCTGTTACTGCGTGAAACTGTTTTACTTTTTATTTGTAATCCAACTGTAAAAAAATGTTATGTTCTGAACTAAGTCTGAACTCTAAAATGAAACAAGTTGGGTTTTTGTGTTTGTTTTTAAAATAATTTTTTCGGAAATGAAATTTTTAAATAAAACAGTCCCTTGTCTTTAAAACAGTGGAACGGCAAATCACAAAATAAGCTCATTTAAATTAATATATGGTATTTAAACAAGGAAGACGGTAAATGTGTTTTATATGGTATTTTTTAAAATCTTTTTCGAAAATTTATTTATTTATACAATTAAAATTGTTCATGCAAGACATTTTTTTAATTATTAAATAATAAATCTTTGCCTTTGAAAAGTTTTGTTAATTGTTAAAAGAATTTTACTTTTAAATGCTTTTATTATAATAATTAATTTAATTAAAACAATCAATAAAAAAAAACATATTGGACCCGTGTAAACTTTTTTATTAGTTTGGAAGAAAAAGGTAATCTTTAATTTTTTTTGCCATTAGACGAAATGGCCAAAGGGTTCTAAGGTCTCAGGTTGTTAGATAATATTAAGTAGTTTTTAAAAACCCCCTTCTGGGAAAAAACTCGTTTTTAAACGGTTTTTCGATTGGGTATACCCTCAAAAAACTAAAATTTTAGCATTGCAAGTTTTATTTTGATGAGCAAAGAAAGTTAAAAATGAACAAAATAGGTCAGTTGAGGTAATTTGTTAATTTATTTCTTTTCATGCATCAGACAAAGAAAACAATGATTCAATTGATAAGTGTTTCTTTAAAAAAATTTTGATTCAATTTAGATGTAAAAAGTATCGTTTCTATTTTCATGATTTTCAAAACTTCCATCTATTTCCTTTCGTTCCTCAAATTAATGCTTTCGTCGCTTTTGTCATTTTTGCTAGGACATTATTTGCTGTATGTCTTCTTTAAAAAATGACATGTAGACAATAAATAAAGTAT